TTATTTTATTTTATTATATTTTTATTTTATTTTGTTATTTATTTTATTTTATTTTGTTATTTATTTTATTTTATTATTATATTTTTATTTTATTTTATTATTATATTTTTATTCTATTTTGTTATTATTCTTTATTATCATATTCGTTATAAACAATACTACGTTATGCAGTTTCAATTGACATTTTCATAAATTGGACGAATGTTCTAACAAATTCTTAATTTAAACAGAAATAATACTATAATGAAGTGTAACAACAGTAAAAACTAACTAATAAAATAAAATACTATAACAAGATACATAAGAATTTCACTTTTTAAATTAGAACCGTACAGAATTCAAATTAGATAACTTTGATTTGATATTACAAATATAATGTAATTTTGGCAAAGATGTCTTATAATTTTGCAACTTTAGTCTAGATCAGGGCTTTTTTCAAACTTTTCCACTTGACCATCACCCGAGCAAATATTTTCGCAACCCTGAGTATATAAACTAGGAATCATAAGGGAATATGATATATATAAATTACAAAGGAAATTTTTTCGAAAACAAGTTTTTGATGGCAAACTGGTTTCGAATTAATTTTCAGTCGTTGCCATGTCCACGAATTTTTTAGTTTTGCTAGAATTTCTGCGACCCCCGCTTTAACCATCGCATGACGGGCCGTACTGGCCGGTGACCGGGTCTCGCGAGACCCAAGCTATTGACTACATATATACATACATGTTCCAGTGGAACGACGTGCGCCTATATGTAATCGTTAGTAGCTGGTTCAATTTTATTTCTTTTTTGTATTTTTATTATGATTGTTATAACAATAGGACAGTAGGAAATAAAACCACCTATTGCTACTTTTATTACCTATAAGTAATATTATTCATTTTCGTTGTATCTAATATGTTAAATTGCATTTATGTTTGCTACAAACAAAATTGTGACAATTGCTACATTTAGCGCTATATCTGTTGTAATTGCCTATGAAAATGAAACATCTCGATCGTTTAAGTTTGGAAGTTTCAAGTTTTAAAAAATGGAAAACACTAAAAGACTAAAAAATACAAAAAATGAAAAATACTGAAAAAACTAAAGAGTACAAAAAATGAAAAATATTACAAAACTAAAGAATACTACTAATGAAAAATACTGAAAACAATGCACTGAAATACACTTCCGACCATTCGCTATGACTGTCTCCTCAGAACTGACTCGTACGCGCGTTTGTCACCGATTTTGGAAACGTAATGTAATCCCATTTTTTATCACCAAATCGTAGCCATACAGGCTAATCTTGTATGACTCACACGCAAAGTAGGAACCCAGCCACCGTTATGTGAAAGTTGAAAAATACAAGGATCGTTGTTTTTTTTTTTTTGGTAATCTAATACACACGATGGTTCGCGTCTGCTCTAGTGATTTTTTTCGAGCCAAGACAAAAGAGTGAATTAACGGGTCATTTATCGGGGTTCGAAACGTTCGTTCGGCAAGCGTCCGGGATTCGTTACGCTCCAGTTTACGTTCCCGAGCGGCAGGAAACGCGGCGGCGTATACAGACAATATTTATCGAGTTGCACGAACAGTGTCTCGCGTGCTCTGGCAGATTCGTATCTCATCCTGTAGGAGGTACGTGCGTTGTTGGAAACGGTAGCGGAACGTTCCCCGTTTCTACGGGACACACACAACACACACACACACATACACACATGGGCAGACAGTGTGTCCTGGAAGAAAAAGCGCTCAGATAACACAAGGTTTCGTTGGTCGAGTACATATTTGGATAACAGGCAGAGGCGACAACTTGCACTCGTTAAATTTATTTCCGAGTAATACGAGTGTTTACGATCCGCCTGTCCTTGCGGTTGGTGTCATGTTTCATCGCCTCTCTACAAAAGATATCGATCTCCTCTCTCCAATTAACGCGTCCGTTTCAGCTCCTTTGTTTACCTTTTGTGCGAAACATCGGAACCGTATCGTTTATGCGCGCCACGAATAACTGCGATCAACTCTCTCTCTCTCAGCTTCCTCGATACATTTCGCAGACCTGTTGCCGCGAGCACGCACCTTCCCGACAAATAACACACACGCCGTCTATTTCGGTTCGCGGACCGATTCCCCTTTCGAGCACCCCATTCGTTATTTCAAATCGTTTGCGCGTTTTATCGCAAACGAAGCTTCTTCAAACGACGCATCAGCAGCAGCAGCAGCAGCAGCAGCAGCAGCAGCGGATCCCTCGAAAAATCGGTGGATTTCGAACGCCGACGTCGTCGTTTCGATGTTTCGAGGTTCGGCCATCATCGTTCACGGGGGAGCTACTCGCACGTTCTACGAAAACCGTTGGTCTGATGGAACTAGTTACTAGTGATCCCTTCCCCCCCACTTTAGCGTCCACGGCGGGATCGAGGAGCTGACAACTGATTGCGGACCATAACGAGCGACCGAACCGTGTACAATAATTCGTCGATTTCTTTTTCTTTTGGACCCGTCGGTATGATGTTACTGGACAGAAATTATTGAGAAGTAATGATAAATTTATCATTTGTTTTGTCTGGGTTATACTTAAATGTGCTTAAAACTGAGAAAATGTTGCAATTTGGGAGAAAAAATTCTCGACGTATTTGTAAAATATTAGTATTCTTATATTTTGTAAGAATATTTTATAAATGTCAATAGTATGTTAACAGAATATTCTTATATTTTAATAAATATTTTATAAATATTAATAGAACATTATAAAAATAGAACATATTTTATATATTTATTAAAGTATTCTTATATTTTGTAAGAGTATTTTATAAATATTAATAGTATATTAACAGAATATTCTTAATTTTAATAAATATTTTATAAATATTAATAGAACATTAATATTTATAAAATATTAGTATTCTTATATATTGTAAGAATATTTTATAAATTTTAATAGTATATTAACAGAATATTCTTATAATGTTCTATTAATATTTATAAAATATTAGTATTCTTATACTTTATAAGAATAATTATAATAAATATTTCCGTCAAAATTACAACATATATTTTTTAATCTCGATATTGTTGGACAGACGAAAGTTCTCTGTCAGTCCTCCAGGGGCTGACGCCGCGTTTAAGTCGAGCCTTGTACAGTAGCGCCCTCATAAGCGTCCACAGTTGGGACCAACAATCGACGCTTAAGAGGAGTGTTCATTCACGAATTGACATCGAAAAAAAAAAAGCAGTGAGGATAGTCCCAAAATTCCAAAAATTGGTAGCGACAGCGTCGGACGCTTAAGTGGGGACACTGCTCTACACTGTGTTTGCACAACCAACAGAGTATAGGAACACCCCTGCTGTTCTATCTTCCAATTTCGCGAACGACGCAGAAAATGTATCCGCCGGGCGCGGCGCTCTCTCCCCTCTCCTCATCTGGTCTCTGCCAGCGAGAGAGAATATATAGTCGGTTGGCTTACGTTAGCCTGGTTCTGCAGTTCATCAAAGCTTGGTACAATAAACACACTCGGGCCCACCGCGAATCTCTCGCCTCCTCCGAGCGTGTGAACCGATTCCTTCGGGCGCGTGCCCGAAATTTCTCCGTAAATCGAGAGAGAGAGAGAAACTCTCGCCAGCTCCGACGATAACCGTCTTCCGGTGGCTGGCTTTCCGCCATCTCCGGCTGGGAAACGTTGATCGATCAATTTCCGCGATAAGGAGCCAGGCGCGACAATGCTCTCACCGAGTTCCTCCTCCCCTCCCCCCCGATGCTTCCGCAACTCTCCGGAAATCCAGCAGAAAAACCGGAAAACGGGATCTCGTTTGCGGTTCGTAGCGCGCGGTCGATCGGATGAATTTTTCAAGCCAGGGGCTCTCGGCACGAAGCGTTGGGAGGAGAGAAGAACGTTTCTCGTAGGCACGGATTTCGAGCTATGCGAGATTTACGGTGCTCGCGTTCCTCCCGGAACCCCCGGGAGGTATATCGAGAAGGTTTCTCGCAAAATTCTCTTCACCGACGAGAGAGAGAGAGAGAGAGAGAGAGAGTAACCCAGGCTGGAAATCTGCTGTAACTTCGCATACCTCTCGCCCTGTGTTCCCTCCGAGTTCTCAAAGTTTTTTCGCCAGGGGGCGGGCCGGGGGGAGGGGGGAAATATTTGTAGCGACCTCTACTTTGAAGCACTTAGATCAACGATATCTCTGTTCATTAAATCGTTCCGTCGAGATGTTTATCGATATTTAATGTAAACAATAGAATATTTAAAATTTGTTAGTAATTTTATTATCACCATGGAAATGTTTACACACACTTTTATATATTGTAACCATAGTAGAAATTATTCATTCGTCATTTAACATCCATTATGTAATCTTTATTAAATTATTAGTAATTATATATTTTGTTATATTGATAATATTTTTATATAAACAACTAAAATTAATTACGGAGTTATTATTTATTTGTAGTATTGTGATATAAACTTAAATTATCATAATCACTACAGGGGGAAGATATGTAGCGACCTCTACTTTGAAGCACTTAGATCAACGATATCTCTGTTCATTAAATCGTTCCGTCGAGATGTTTATCGATATTTAATCTAAACAATAGAATATTTAAAATTTGTTAGTAATTTTATTATCACCATGGAAATGTTTACACACACTTTTATATATTGTAACCATAGTAGAAATTATTCATTCGTCATTTAACTTCCATCATGTAATCTTCATTAAATTATTAGTAATTATATATTCTGTTATATTGATAATATTTTTATATAAACAACTAAAATTAATTACGGAGTTATTATTTATTTGTAGTATTGTGATATAAACTTAAATTATCATAATCACTAACATATTCCGATCTCGAAATGAAGCTAGCTCCGACAGAGAGCTAGTTTCTCGCCAGTGGGTCGAGAAACCTAACCCGCCACGATACTTTTCCGAGAACATTTGTCGAACAGTCAACAAGGAAATCGGGAGAACTGTCGAACAGTCACAACGAGGAAATCCTCGCCTCTCTGTTTCAGGGATGAACGCGCTGCTGGCGAACGGTTTGCTAACGGTGGTCCTCGCGGCGGCGACGATGCGCGGCACCGCCGTTCTCGGATTTACCGGCGCGACGCTCGTTATGGACCAGGACATCCCCACGAGGAGCCACTGCAAGTACAGCAGAGCGTACTCGATGATTCAGGTGCGTTGCGCGAACCAGGGCCTCAGCGCGATTCCCTCGAATCTGAAAACGGAAATTCAGGTGAGTGAGACATTTTTTTCTCACGTTCGTCGTCGTCGTCGTTCTGTTTCTCATTTTCGTTCGTGCCTTCACCTTGTTGTTCCCTCTTCTCCCTCCCTCAGATCATGGACGCGTCGGTGAACAGAGTGCGGTCGTTGACGAACGACAGCCTGTCGTCGTACACGAACCTGGCCTACCTCTACCTGGGCGACAATTTCATCCAGGAGATCCAAGAGGGAGCGTTCGACAATCTTCGATACCTGAAGGTGATCGACCTGTCGACGAACGGCTGCGACACATTGCCGAAAAGTCTGTTCCGCCTGCCCTATCTGCAGAAGGTCTACCTGGCGAACAATCGGCTGGGCGACGACCAGTTCAAGGACGTGGCGGTGAGGTCTCCGCTCATCTTCCTGCAGCTGTCGGAGAACAAGCTCGGCAAGATACCGCAGCTGGGCCCGGTGCCGACGTTGATGCACCTGAACGTCTCCGGCAATAACATTGTCACCGTCACCACGGAGGACCTGGCGCCCTATTGCTCCCTCAAGGTCCTCGATCTGTCCAGGAACCCGATCAAATTCGACGCCGGCAGCTGCGAGTGCGGGACGCTGAACGCGTGGCTCCGCTTGCGCGGGATTCGCTCGCAGCCGGCTTACAACTGCACGGAGGAGCAGGAGAGAGGCGGATGCAGCGCCAGCAGCAGCGAGTTCAGCAACAGAACGGTGGAGCTGTACGGCCGTTGCTCGGAGATTCTGCGGCAGCAAGCGGCGACGGAGAAGGCGAGGAACACGTGGATATTGATCGCCTGTTGCATCGCCGGCTTCCTCCTCTGCCTGTTCGTCGGCCTGCTCTGCGTGCACAAGAGGAACAAACGGAGGAAGAAGAAGCTGAAGGAACAGCAGCGGCTGAACGCCAACAACGCCAACACCGAGCTGCTCAACAGCAATTTGAATCAGCCGGAGAACAACACCTGAAGCGCCGCGTAGTGGTCAGCAGCGGCAGTCGTTGTTTTTTTTCGACTACGTGGAAGAAGAGAAAGTACGCTGAGAGACAGAGAGAGAGAGAGAGAGAGAGAGAGCTTGCCCGAAACGAGAGAAATAACGTGCTAATTTTCCCCCGGGGGGGAGGATGTGCTTGCGCCGTGACACGTCGAGTTAAAAACACACTAGTAGCGTGTAGGGGAGATAGATCGAACACGCAGGGAAAAATTTTGTGTTGTTTGACGCTTCGATACCTCGTGTTTAACCAGGGAAAACTTACTTTCGCCGACTATCGACGAAGGAGAGGGGGTGATTTAAACGAATCGTCGTCCGTTCTTGTCTCTGTGCAAGATATACGATGACGCAAGTTCCACCTCGTGGGAATGTCAGGCACATTATTCTGGCACATTTCATTCGAAAAATTCGCCGGTCGATTTGACGAAAACGAAGGTCTCCATTGTATACACGTACTTACCCGAAATTGGGATCGATCGGAGGGGGTCGGGGGCGATACAGCAAAGTGGTAAAAAAAATCCGTGAATGAAAGGCCAATAATGGCCGCGATCACGAATTATTTACAGTGCCGATTCTCATCGGCAGTCTCTCCGAGTTTCATTCGAAAGCCGATAATCTCAAATGTTTTCGTCGCCTTTGTCCTCTGTGTTTCTACGTGCGATTGCGAAGTTTCGATAAACGTGCGCAATCGTTGGAATCGGCACGATATATGTACGCACGTAACCACTCAAATGCGTAATAAACGTTTCGAAATGAGATTCGCGAAGATCGATCGGATACGTGCTTTTCAATCCAGACGCGTGATTTCACGTCTTATCGATATATAACATATATATATATATACACGCGTACGGTGATATAAGTAATTCCGGTTAAATACGTCGTTCGAACGATTTTTCGTTTTATCCGGAAAGGGAGGAGGAGGGACCGGTCGAATTTTGAGCAAACTATTCCTTTTATTATATGCGTCGCGTGATGAAACCGTGTTTTGTAGATACGTGTATCCATAAGCTGTACCACGTGTGTATATATGTATATAATTATTATATATGCATATATATACATACGTGTATATTTGCGCAAGCAACGACACGCACACACGCACATGTATGTATGTATTGTATGTATGTATACTCGTGTTGAATATTTATTAATATTTAATGAAGACGAAGGAAACTTTTTTTTCTTTCTTTTGCTTACTTTTGCGTCCAAATTTATACCAGAGACATTTGTACTTTTTTTAACACACACATATATATATATATATATATAAAAATATATATCTCGATATCATCGAAAATTTAAATCTAACGTAACTTTGTGCGGTTTTTTGGTCTTTTTAATAAAAAGTGCCAAATGTTGTTAGCCCAATTGTTGTAAGAACTCGCGTGAGTTCCTCATTTAAAATCGAAGGAAAAATTGGAAACGACAGAAACGCCGCGCTAATGTTTGAATATTATTATATACAGGATACTAGTTCCTAACATTTGTACAATTTCCCTTAGTTACCTCTTTTTTTTTTTTAAACGGTAGATAATTCGTTACTTAAAATTAGAGACTACTTAAACTCGCCCCTTCCGAGGCAAAGGGCTACGAAACGTGACAAATAGTAAGTTTTACCAACAGTAAGTAAATAAGTAAGTAAGAAATAAAGCCGCAACATGCCGTTTGACAAAGATTCTTTGTATACATATACGCGTTATGTACTTAAATCGTATGTCTAATGCATTCTTATTGAATTTTCTTTAACTTTTAATACGTACGATATTGTACACAAAAGTGTTACCGACAATTCGAGGAATTTCACGAAATAAATCTTAACTCTAGTCCATCGTCGTTTTACTGAAACAAAACACCCCGAGATTGTCTTAACTTTAGCTCATCTCGAAGGACGAATCTGCCCCCGTTTAACTGGGATTCAGCTCGTCGGTAACGAGGATACCGCCTGATGAAACTAATCGGTAAGTTAGAGTCCTGCCTGCGAGATGGCGACACGTCTCGTTCAGATTCAGAGCAATGAAGATTTTATTGTTGGCAGTAAATGTAATTAAACGATAAGAACTGATACGAAAAACGTAACAAATGTTGTTTATTTCACGTTTATGTATAGTTAAACGCTTGCTATTGCGACATATTTCAAATTAAAGTCTTTGCCGCCGTTTGTTGTCTTTATCAATGTTAAAAATGTGCACGCGTTGCTACAACGTGACGGAAACTCCAAGCAACAGTTCACCGAGATCAACATTTCGTTATGTGTTCAATTAGTTGCGGTTATCGATTTACCAGAATCCGTCTAGATGAGCTTTTATTTTCGTACCGAAGATATGTTAATAAACAGACCCTGCTCCTCGCAGGCCCGCTAAAAATGTCACCCCGATCTCGATACCGCTGGCAACGAAATGACACGGACGTAGGAAAGAAACAGACGGAGAGACAGACACGCGAAGGCAATCTGTATCTACAGAGCGATATCAGGTATTAGTATTAGTTGAAGGTTAACCAATAACTTCAGCGAGCGCCAGGCGAGAGCGAGGCACAGTCAGGTAACGATTTCCTGACCGAGTGGACGTTGTCGGTTTTAACGTAACGTCGTGCAAGCGGAAAGTAATGGGACGTGCGAACGCCGGGAGATAGACTCATCTGCCCACGTAAGTCACGTGGTACATCTGACTTTAGATTTGTTTGTATCGCCCAGTTATCGTTATTTCTCAATTTAACATTTTCCGCATTGTTTGGACCCATCCCAGTAGCTTGACGTATCCGACTGTCTTGAAGTTGTTACGCTGAGGAAGCGTAATGCGATTGTGACACGACGGCTCATCCTATCGATCATTTTTCAAATCGTAAGTGACGTTGATCAACTAATTTTTCAAAGATTCCGATTCTAAGTCCGCGTTATCACGCACTTCAAATCGAACTCTGTTTTTCACCAGTCAGATTTCCTTGAATGAGATCCCCTGTAACACGTGCACACAAAGATTAACTCGAACAAGCGAAGTCCAGTACGATAAATAACTTTCAGTGATTTAATTTTCGAGGTGTTTTTCCAAGCTTAATTTTAATCACGTACGTTGTATATGTATTATGTAAGCAATTAAAATAAAACACTGTGTGTAAATGCACGGTACCAAGTATTGCCGCCTTAAAGTTTCACCATCGTTTTTTCTTTTTCTTTTTTTGTTGTTGTTTAACACATTAACACCAATCGTTGAAACATCGACTTGAAATTAGTTAAAAATAGAACGCGTTTAAAATTAAGAACAATGGTATCTATTAATACATACGTGCCGATTAGAAATCTGATAAGCCCCCACTTAAATATATCTAAAAATACTGTGATACTTAAAATTTGATTTGTCAACTTAATAGTGTTTATTTGTTATTTGTATATGCCTGTAGTGAAGCAGCATGGTTTCATCATTATAAGAAATTGTAATCTTTTGCAGGAGAAATCAATTAACAAAAAATCATCATGGATGGAAAGGCAAAAACAGAAAGGAAAGAGAATCCCAGAGAAGGAGCGAATCCTCTCAGTATTCTAACATTTGCGTAAGTTTCAAGTATCATTCAGTGATTCGTTCATTTTTTTCTCATTATCATTGGCTGCAAATAAAAGTACCAGATCATGGCGATGAAGAGGCAACCTCTTGTAAATATTTCTAAATCAGATATAAGAAAATCTTGTGTAAACTGATGTAACCGAGTTATCTTCAACTTCATTATTGAATTAGTAGACAGCACTTTAAATGATCCATGTTATCTGTTACTATTCTATAGTAGAATAGAATTTCTTGAAGGAACGCCTTTTTATTATCTTTAATCCATTAGTCAATTGACATTGATATTAGCTGCTCAAAACTAGAGTAGCTAATTGTATCTTGTAGCATTTAGTTCGGTCATTGATTGATAAAGATATAATGAAATGTATAAAATGCTACTACACTGTTGACACTGAAATAACATTGTATTAAAAGGGTCGTCTTAATAACGTGTATTTCATTTCTGTTGATAGATTTACATTGCCCACATTTTGGACTGGTTATCGCAAAGACTTGGAAGTAACTGATTTGTACAAACCTCTGAAGGAACATAGCAGCAGCTATTTAGGTACAAAGATATCGAGAATATGGCAAAAGGAATGCGAACAAAATTTATCGAACGAAGGGAAGGATAGCGATGATAGAAAACACTCTGGGAAAAAGAAGTTAAAACAGCCTAGCTTAGTAAAGGTCCTTATGAAATGTTTTGGAGTTCAGTTAATATTGTACGGACTAATTTTAGCTGTTTCGGATATTGTGTTTAGGTACATGATCGTTTGATTTTATTTATTTATTATTTATTACAATTATAGAAAATCCGATCGAACTTATGAATCTGATTGTTTATTCAGATTGTCACAACCCTTGTTTCTTGGTCTTTTGGTTCGTTACTACGATAAGACGAAACTTGAGTCTATGCCATTGCATACTGTAATGACCAGATTGTACAATTCTTCCAATTCGCAAGTCCGTGAAATCGACGAAACGATGAAACCGTTAAGTCCCATAGCCCGTTTGCATTTCTTGCACCTAGTAGTCCTTTCCTCGTACCTATTTTAGATGACTTAACCTTTTTCTTTTTCACCCAGAAACTGACACAAAGTTAGTTGCTAGTTAGTTAACGTTAAATTAATGCTTGCTAGTGTATCTAATGCAGTGTATCCAATATAAATATGCAATTTACTCGATATTGATGATTACTTCGTTAATAGTAGCTTTTTCTGTTTCATGTACACAGGATACTGCAGCCAATATTGATTGGTCGACTTTTACAATATTACAGTAACATTCCCGTAATGACAAAAGAAGATGCCTATTTATACGCAGGTGGTGTCGTATTGTGTTCAGGATTCTTGATATTTATTACTCATCCATACATGTTGGGAATTCTTCACATTGGAATGAAGATGCGTGTAGCTTGTTGCACGTTGATTTATAGAAAAGTGTTGAGACTGTCAAGAACTGCCTTGGGTGAAACAACAATAGGACAAGCAGTGAATCTCTTATCAAACGATGTGAACAGATTTGATGTAGCACTTATGCAAGTACATTATCTATGGATCGGACCGCTTGAAACTTTGATCATTACATATTTAATGTACAATGAGGTTGAACTATCTGCCTTTGTCGGAATTGTGATAATCCTCTTGTTTATTCCTTTACAGGGTAATGAATATCAATCATTTCTCCCCGTTACGTATACGTGTACACAACAGTTGTTATACTTTACATTTTACTGATTTTTCTTTGATTTTTAAACACGCAGGATATTTGGGTAAAAAGTCTTCGCAATTCAGGTTGAAAACTGCCCTTAGAACAGATGAAAGAGTACGATTAACCAATGAAATTATTACCGGTATTCAAGCAATCAAAATGTACACCTGGGAGAAACCGTTTAGTCAATTGATCGAAAGAGCAAGGAGGTATTTCTTTTCTTAACAAGAATTTTCGTTACTCTCTGTACGTTATGTTATATCGTTGATATTGTTGCAGGAGAGAAATCAATGTTCTACGAGCTATGTCTTTAATCAGAGGTGTCACCATGTCTTTCATTTTATTCACGACGAGGATGTCACTTTTCGCTACCATAGTAGCTTACATAATGTTAGGAAATAGAATAACTGCCGATAAAGTGTTCATGTTGCAAGCATTTTATAATATTTTACGATTGAATATGACCGTGTTTTTTCCACAAGGTAAGTACGATTGAGTAGACAGCTATATTAGCAATTGATCAACTCTAACAGAACAATCGATTTCGTAGGAATAACGCAACTAGCTGAATTGATGGTCTCTGTGAAACGTTTGCAAAAATTTATGTTGTACGAAGAAATCAACAAAACGAGCGAAAAAACGGGATCCACGAGGAAAGAATCAAATGTTGGCAGGAATAAAAATGACGTGAACAACATAGAAAATGATACGAGTGATAAAAAACGTGAAACGGCCAATTATCAAGGAGAACACATTATATCGTTAAAGAACGCCAACGCCAAATGGTTTTCCTCTGAGCAGGAAGATACGTTAAAAAATATGAACATCAACGTGAAACCAGGCGAACTAGTCGCCGTTGTTGGCCACGTTGGATCTGGCAAAAGTAGTTTACTTAATGTATTATTGAAAGAATTACCTGTAAACTCAGGTACCGTGGAGGTTCGTGTTTTGTTTCTTGGATGACTATTCTTTTTCGCATTGAATGAAGAGAAGCAATTGCAAGCGTTTCATTTTGTTTTACAGATTAATGGAAAGATAACGTACGCTAGTCAAGAGCCGTGGTTATTTGCTGGTGCTGTTCGACAAAATATCCTATTCGGTCGGAAGCTAAATCAATTTCGGTACGATCGTGTAGTTAAAGCTTGCCAGTTGAGACGAGACTTCAGTTTGTTGCCGTACGGCGACAAAACGATTGTCGGCGAACGAGGTATTAGTTTGTCAGGTGGGCAACGTGCCAGGTGAGCAATTATTATTTATGCATGTGCAAACCCGTTGGAAAGAACATCAGGTCACGGTGTGATTGATCGATCAATTTACATGCGTAGAATCAATTTGGCAAGAGCAGTTTATACGGAAAGCGACATTTACTTGTTGGACGATCCGTTAAGCGCCGTGGACGCGCACGTGGGCAAGCATATGTTCGAGGAGTGCATTGTGAAGTATTTGAGGGGAAAGACCAGAATTCTCGTCACACATCAGTTGCAGTATCTGCCAAATGTCGATAGGATAATCGTGTTCAAGGATGGGAAAGTCGAGGCTGACGGGTATGATTCGTGAACGTGTCATAGTTTTCTCTTTCAAATGATCAAAGCGAAACGCGTAACTTTTATTTCAGTTCTTACAACGAGCTGGTCGCGAAGGGAATGGACTTTGGAAGATTGTTGGAAAACGATCCCGACGAAGAAGACGAGCGAACACAGTCTGGCCCTCCCAGCAGGTCTAATTCTCGAAACGGTAGTAGCACGTCGTTGAGCTCTATGAGGAGTAACATGACCGAGAGGACAGAGCCGGTTGAAGTGAGTAAACGTGATTCACCGAAATGAACCGAGCTCGAAACGGAAACCAGAAACATATGCGACTAATTGCAGGTAGCCGAGACGCGTTCAAAGGGCACAATTTCCGGCAAAGTGTATGGAGGATATTTCCACGCAGGCGGAAATTGGTGCGTCATAGCCACGGTTGTTTTGCTTTGCGTGTTGGCGCAGATGTTTGCTACCTTAAGCGATTTCTTCATCTCTCAGTGGGTCAACATGGAAGAGAAATATGTAATTATCCGATACTGTTCTGTTTGCCTTTCGTAACATCGAGACGAAATCACGTAAAAATGTATTGTTCGTTTTAAAGGTGAACGAGACGGATATCGATTCAAAGTGGGACGAGCCGATAAGCCGCAATGCTTGCATGTACGTGTATACCGGCTTGATCGTTTCCACGATCGTCGTTACTCTAACACGTTCCGTCTCATTCTTTACGACGTGTATGAAAGCGTCCACCAGATTACACGATCGCATGTTCCGATGTATAAGTCGAGCAACGATGAGATTCTTCAATACCAACACGTCCGGTCGAATTCTCAATAGATTCTCGAAAGATATGGGTGCCATCGACGAATTGTTACCGATAGCTCTGATCGATTGCTTCCAAATCGGCTTGTCTCTTCTTGCCATCATAGTGGTCGTTGCAATAGCCAACTATTGGCTGTTAATACCCACCGTGGTCATCGGAGTGATCTTTTTCTATCTCCGTATTTTCTATCTGGCAACTAGTCGCAGCGTCAAACGATTGGAAGGAGTTAGTAAGTAGTTGTTTTCTTTTAACAGGATCGTTCTCCTCGCATCTTTTTTTCCGGCAAATTGGAAAATGCTAGGAAGATCCGCCCCCTCAACCCTCCCCCATCTACGCGATAATCCTCGTTGTGGAACGAGAGAGATTAAACAATTTGTAATATAAAAAACGCCTAGCTCGATCACCGGTGTTCGCACACCTGAACGCAACTTTGCAAGGGCTGCCAACTGTACGTGCCTTCGAAGCGGAAGAGATACTAACGAAGGAATTCGATCAACACCAAGACTTGCACTCGTCGGCGTGGTTCATATTCATCTCATGTTCGAGGGCGTTCGGATTCTGGCTGGATTTCTTTTGCGTCATCTACATCATGTTGGTCACGTTGAGCTTTTTGGTGATCAATGACGATGCGAAGGGTGGTAACGTCGGATTGGCTATAACGCAAAGTATCGGGTTAACCGGCATGTTCCAATGGGGCATGCGGCAGAGTACCGAGATGGAAAATCAAATGACCTCGGTGGAACGTGTGCTGGAGTACAGGTAAGTGCTTCGAGGGAACTGTTACTGGCACGATTTTTCACGCAGAGAGTCTCACGAATTCTACTTTTTTTTTTTTTTTTTTTAGCAAAGTGGAGAGCGAACCACCGCTCGAAAGCAAGCCAGATAAAAAGCCCAAGGATAGTTGGCCCGAGGAGGGTAAAATTGAGTTTAAGAACGTAGTGATGAGATACGCCCCGGACGAGCCTCCGGTGTTGAAAAATCTCAACCTGGTGATTTATCCGCAAGAGAAGATCGGCATCGTCGGGCGAACAGGCGCCGGAAAGTCGTCCTTGATCTCGGCCCTGTTCCGCTTCGCGTATCTCGACGGTGTCGTAGAAATCGATGGTGTGAGAGTCAACGAGATCGGGCTTCACGACTTACGCTCGAAAATCAGTATAATCCCTCAGGAACCTTTCCTGTTTTCTGGTACGTTGAGAAAGAATCTAGATCCCTTCGACAACTACAGCGACCACCTGCTGTGGCAAGCGTTGGAGGAAGTCGAACTGAAGGAGATGGGGCTGGAGGCTCACGTCAACGAGGGTGGCTCCAATCTGAGTGTCGGCCAACGTCAGCTCGTCTGCCTGGCACGCGCAATCATCAAAAACAATCGGATCCTCATTCTCGACGAAGCTACCGCGAACGTCGATCCGCAGACCGACGAGCTCATTCAGAAAACCATCCGCACGAAATTCGCCAAGTGCACGGTGTTGACCATCGCGCATCGTCTCAACACCGTGATGGACAGCGATCGAGTTTTGGTGATGGACGCCGGTAACGCTGTGGTAAGTTGTGGCCACGACTCGAATCGACAGAGAGAGCAAATTGGACGAAGAACGATTTGACAAACTTGTTTACTCCCGTAGGAATTTGATGCTCCGTACGCCTTGATCGAAAGAAACGGATATTTCAAGAGTATGATAAACGAGACCGGGCAGTCAATGGCAGAGGCTCTGAAGCAAATCGCTCGTGAAAGCTACGAGAATCGCACGTCGACGACGCTTTGAAACTCCGAATGAAACCACCCTCCCTCTCTTGTTTACTGGATAGAAACGATTATACTTTGTACGATTATAGCAATCGGCGGGGTATTAGTCTTGAAGCATACGCCATTTCTCACCGGACCTCACGCTCATCGATACAGTATTATTATTACTAGTAGATTTTTATAAACCTGTGACACTTTCCTATCTCGATTGCCTTAAAGAAGAAACCGTGACGAGACTTGAAAGTACTTAAACTTAAACACAACGTGATACGATGCTATTTTTGTATGTACAATTAGGAACTAAAGTTTTACCTCACTGTTGCGATTTTTCTCTTGTTACTGTACGTTGGTGCTACGATAGTACAAAAGAGCTATTCTCGCGTCAAAGGGACAGATGTCTGTTCGATTTTTTTTTTTTTTTTTTTGTAACGTGCTATGTTGAAACAGTCTTTTTGACGTTTGAAAGTTTGAAAAGTTTTCCTTCCACGTGATAATCATTTCGCGTACGAGATACGTCGAGTTCGCACGACGAAACACAAGCGAGAGAAACACACGCGTCTTTGTTAATCGAAACAAACAGTTTTCCAATTTTCTGCTGTGTGCAATTCTTTCTAGATTCAAGATTCTAAAACATTCGTACACTTCGGGTTAAAGTGTCGTTTGCCGTACAAGTCAATATGATTGTACTTTTAGGTGAAATCAATTTGCTTTATGTACAAGTGGTTATATAATTTAATTATATTATAAATGAAAAATATAAATGCAGGGAATCGTTTGTCTTGCCAAAAAAAAAAAAAATATAAAAAAAAAATGCACATCATGTCTGTTTCATTTAACTTTGAAAGGATGTTCCCAATACCGTCCCCTTCTGCAGGGGGAAAAAAAAAACTGCAGAGTTGGACGACGATCCGAAGACAGCGGTGGTTTTTTCCAGCAAGGTTGCGTTTCGTACACGTTAGTAAGAGAAGTTGGTAAGTTTGTTTCTTCTTTTTTTTTTTTTTTTCTTTTTTTGGAAATATAAATACTCTTTGTTTATTATCGAATTCTCGAACAACAATTTCCGTTTATACTCCTCAATTATGTTGTCGCGAAAAACGGACGTCCGATATTTGGTACGTATAGAGCCTTGTGTATATCGTCGATTCTGTTTGGCGTTTGTACGTCATCACCAAACGGTAAACGAGAAGCAATGGTTTTTCCTAGTTCCGTTTTCTCCGCAAAGGAGTCACAAGAGAACGGCTATGGGTGCTTGTCGTGACGTACACACATACATATTATACATATATATATATACATGCGTACATACACACATACGTATATACATATATCTATACACACATATGTATATACATATATGCATATGTAGCAAATAAAAGAAAAAAAGGGAGAGAGAGAGAGAGAGAAACGCGACAGACTATTAATAGACTATTAATAGAGTGATAGCCGTCGCTATGTCGTCCTCTGTATCGCTAAAATAAACAAGTATACCTCCTAATGTCTATATACTCTGCTTATACTCGGCTCACAATAATTGGCCACGGTGCGAGTCGATCGCCCAGGCGCATTTCTCGCGAGACAAGTACACTAGTGTGTCGTAATACTGACAGTAAAGAGATTACTATGACATTAAAATTAAGCTCGCGTTGATGATCCGCGCGTGTGCGTGACAATTCGAAGTACAATTACGCGGGTATAAACGGCTAGGCTATATGCATATCATAGTAGAACGTGTATATCGTAGTATGTATTATAGTTGCGGACGATCGTTACCCTAGAATTAAAATTACAGGATTATTCGATTGACGTGTTACGTTCGCAGATACATCTTTCTAAGTGCCTCGGTAGTCGTTGGACTTGTGCAATGATAATTCTGAACGAATGGTGAAAAAGAAACAAAAAGGAAAAAAAAAAGAGAAAGAAAGAAACTGACGTAAAATATAATACACATATACACACGCATACACGCACTTATCTCTCTCCTCTTACACGTATGTACAAACCAGTATAAAATACCTATGTTCATTATTATAGTCTTATCGCGTGCGTAAGTTTGTTCGCTAAGAGTCCGCGCGTTAAAATCCGCTTAGAAAAGTGTGCCCGAAAACGTAGACGCGAGAACATTCACAAGTGGTAAACGCGTGATTTCGACACCGATCCGAGATGATATCGCTACGAAATCTAAATCCTCGTATAAATAATACCGGCCTAGCTAAGTAATAAATAAGTGGAGCACTGATTCTGTCCCGGTATATATATATACAAAACAGAGAAAACGAGAAATCTACGTATACATTTTACATTACGTACGTACACGAGCAACGAGGGATTCGCTTTTTTTTTTATCATCTTTTCGTCGTCACTTATCTTTTTTTTTTTTCCTTTGTATTTTTTCGCCAAGAAAGATGACGTGCTCGCGCGAAAAGGAAGACTGCGCGCCGCTCGTTTTCTCCTCTCTTTTTCCTCTCTCTTAGAATTTCGATCGGATCCGTTCGACCAGCAAAAGACGGAACAAAATAAAATTGGAATTCGTGGAGACTCGATAAACGCAAGTTATCGATTCTCGCGTACAGTTCTAAATCGAAAATTTGCGCCCGCCGTGTACAATCGATCTCTTTCCACGGTGAAATTAAAAGTGACGCTTCGGTTCACGCGGCAGCTTTCCCCGCAGACACATGAAGACGAGATCTAAGGAGCGCGCAAGACATTGATGATACTACCTTATCGACTGGGCACGCCAATTGGCGTCTTGACGTACATAGGTAGCAGATTTTACAGCCCGGTCGATAAAGTGTTAAAACGAGACAACGTAAGAGAAACGATACACGTGATGGTCTCACGGACCGACTGCTCTCGAGTGTCGATGCGACTATACATTTAAGAGATTCGACGAGGAAGCGGCGTTTATGGTGCCACGCGTTGGCGAACGAAGCGTCTTAACGCTGGAAATTCGGGCGATAGAAAACGCGAACGAAGTTGGTTTTCGATTCGATGGTCTCTTCCTTCGATCGATCGTCTTCCTTTCTTATTAACCCTTTCGATACCAACGACGACTATATGGTTGTCCATCGTTAAACGCTCGCTGTGAACTAACGGCTATGAAGAATTCGCATCAATTCATAACTTGGACAGTGAGCAGAGCATAGCTAACACGAACATGAAGAATTTCCAAACTCGAGAAATAACTAACTGGCGGCCCCTACTGCCCCCACTTTCCTGATCGCTAGCGCTACTACCCCCTCCACTGCATCGATCTCCCCACTACATTGAAATTTCGATGCAGTGGAGGGGGTAGCGCTAGCGATCAGAAAAGTGGGGGCCGCCAGTTGGCCGGGTCCGCTATAAGACGTGTTAAAGTACTACTTTTTCCCACCAATTCGTTACAAAATTTAACTGTTACGCTCCTTATTCGATGAAGTAGTATTCGCGTGGTGGTTGTCCCACACTCTGGCAGCGTATTCGCTATTAAACTGTCCGTTCAACGGAGGCATAGTGGTCAAAGACGAAGCCGTGTCGAAAGGGTTAAACAAGAACTTCGAGACTCTCGCGCGACCGAGCCTTCTGCTGTCCACACTTTCCGTTCGCCTGAACGATCATGGCGACCGACTGGCAACCGCTCTCGGCGCTGATCGGTCGAACGGGCGGCATCGCGAGCCGCAGCTTGTACCAGAATTTCTGGCTGCCGTAGCCCGATATGCCGTAATTCTCGTCCCAGCGCAAAATCTTCAAACGATCGAGGGAGAACTCGCTGCTGTCGTTGCATCCCCGATTCGATCGTTTCGCGATCGTGCTCGTGTTAGACAGATCCTTGGTGGCGATCACTATGGTTGGCACGGTCAACGACGACAGCTGATTCAGGACGGTCCCCACGCTCGTTTCGTTCCAAACGTTTCCCAGGGACGCCGGGCTCAGGATCACGATCACTCTTCGACTGGAAACGGCGTGCGGCCCGATCTCCGCGCCCCCTGAAATCAAGTTTTCTGTATTTTTTTTCTGTGGAAATAACTCTCTTCTTCCTCAGGGAAAACGATCAACACTGATCGTACCGTGCTCGGTCAATTGGCCAGTTTCAAAATTTAATTTAAAATTATACATTCCTCGTGACGTTTCTTTCTTTTGTTTATCTTTATGAAAATTCTTGCATTACCTGATTAATCAATTTTTCATTTTGCTTTTTTTTTTTCTTTTTTTAATAAGAAAAGTTCATCGTCGTTTGACAAATTTACGTGTTTTTAAACTAACATGTTTCATCGCGTCCAAACAATAATCGTTGGTTACAGATTGGACATATTATTAATTAACTGTTGATAGTATTCTTTGCAAAAGAATCTTTTTTCTTAGAGAAATGGCGTCCACGTTCTTATCAAACACACTTTATTATACCTATTCTTGCCGTAACTGGTTAAATGACTAGTTACAATAAATAAATAAACATTATTTTTGAAAGAAATAGATGACTGTCGATTTACTGTAGGAAATAATGCACAACGTGCATTAGAGTTGGTATTAAAGCGGCAACGAACGATAAACAATAAACGGTTTACGGAACAAAATCAATCACCGGTCAAAGGATCAATCGAATTCCCCGAGTCGCGAATCAATTATTATGCTCTCTCTCATCTTATTCTCGCTCGTCACATATGACCCTTTATTATAACCTAAAATTCGAACTTCCTTCGAAAACGCGTAAAACCCAAACGAAGCTAGCGCACGATGTTTTTTTCCTTTTTCCAATTTGTACGTTGGCAAGAATGACTCTGGCGCCTCGACTCCGTTGTGTTTCGATTATCGCCGCGGTTATCGGGAACGCGGGGGAGGAAAACAGTTCAGTGTGCGCTCAATTCAAAACCGCAAGGTTAGAATCCCGGAGACAAACGAAACGCCCGACAGAGAGAAGTCGGTTGTCCCCCCAACTTGCTAATTCAATTTGCAAACTTCCACGTTCCGACCGGTGATTCCGCGGTCCCGAAGGATCGCCCCTTCCTCGCTATCTTCCTGTTATCCATCGCCGGGAGGGACGCCATTTTCTCTGCGACTGTGACGCCGGCGGTTCACGGTCGGTAAAATAGCAAATCGGAAGCGATGAGAGAGAAAGAGAAAGGGTAACAAAATTGTTGCACAAATCGGGTCGAGATTGGGATTAAATATAATAATAATAAAAATTGCCTAATAAATTATCTAAAAAATTGGAAAAAATACTGGCGTCCGAATAAACAGTAGTGACTTCATAACTGATCACACTTTGAACCTCGGTAACTGACCATCGCTCATCCCCACCAATTCTTGCAATTGGGACTATTCCCACTCTACGTTACCATGCGGCCGCGTGAAACATGACACTCGCATAACACAAAACAAGCGATATACCGTAATATAAATATTGCGGCGTATTACGATTGTTTCGAATCAAAGTTATAATTATTACAATTTATTGTTTTATTTAGTCTATGTATGTAAGTTTGAAACAATTTAAACGTATTAACCGAGCACCGGTGTTATTTTACGCTACCCACTTAGATATCCAATCTAATCTAGAGATTATCTAATCTAGTTTCTGATCTAGGTATTGATTCAAGAGTTTAGTTGTGTGGAGGCCTTAAGGGGCGACAGTCTTGTCGATGTTTGTGATCCGAAAGACAACAAGGGATTCCACAGCCAGTCCTCCAGACGACTCGGGACTTCGGAACGGTTTGACCACGCGACTCGGGGAAACTTAATAACGTCGTCAAAACGAATAGCCTTGCCCTACGGAGTACGGGGGGGGGGGGGGGGGCTCGGTGGTGCCGCAGTTTAATTAAACTCGAAACTTACAATTCTGATTCAGCTGGGAGAGCTCCAACGCCGTGCACTTGTACCGATGCCTCGACTCCAGCGTCGGTATCATTATACCGATGACCAAGCTCGAGTCCTTCTCGTGGTAGCACACCAGGGCGTCGCATTCCTTTCCATCTGCAATTTGCGTCGATCGTTATATATCGTGGTTGGCATGGATGCGTGTGGCTAATGACAGATACGCGTTACAGCGGAATGGCCGGAAACGTTTATGGATACGTTTATGGAAACGTTTATGGTAGAGGTGGGAAATGAGAGACAAAAGGGTGGCTTGAAATGTGATCCTGTCGCGGCGCGTTGCATCGTCGAAGATACACGAACAATCTGAAGCGATTTAGAGGCCAATGCCGCTGATAATTTTCGAAATTATATCTGTTTAGTTCTGTAATCAGCGGTCGTGAATGTGTTGATGTTTGAAAAATCAAGATGACCTTGAGTTTTTATCGAAAAGAAATTTTTCTTGAAATTGAGATTTGTAGACGTCGTATCGATTGGCTTTCGTCGGAAACATTTTTCTTCTCTGACGATCGGGGGAACCAGCTTGAAAAATCTCTACAACTGTTGAGTACTCGCACCGAAAAGCTGGAAGAAATGATATTTGTACGTAAATTATGTTGAAACGATTTGAATTATTATTTTAACATGAAATATGTAGATTTTGATTTTTTGTTTTTTTAACGACAAATTACATATTTTAAGAAAAAAACGTTAACACGGATTCGCAACTGCCGATTGTAGAGCGTTTGGGCCTATGAAAATTAAATATAATTTCCAAAGGTGTGTAGCCGAGTACCGCAAGAGTACTCACAGTATCCACGTAAGAGGTTCATCTTCATTACCGACAGAGCTATCAGACTCTCCATCGCTTCTCATTATTCCTTTGAATTACATCGGAGCATCGCTGCCTGTGTGTCACTATTATTATTGGATACGGACCAATTCATAATCTGAGAACGCATTCGTATGAACGTTATTCACATAACCTATCTCCCTCTACCATAGTAAGGATTTCTTTTAAACGATGAATGCGCAAAGAAGATGTGTGACCTGACAAAAATTTGAAATGAAGATACTGATAAAAAACTTTGATAAAGAACGGGTATTCTTACCACACAATTGTCATTACGTTCATCTTGGAAACTTGATACTGCTATATTAACTACATTAGGCGATATTATCATAGTTTACAGATAATTGCGATAAACTGTTCACTTGTTTATGGAATGTTCACATATTTATTAGACAAATGAAAATTGTATCTAGTAACTAGCAGGAACGCCATTTTTGAAATAACGTGAGACTACGTGGCCGGTATCAAATTAATAAATTTAAAACAACGTAAACTACGTTACCGACATTCAGCTAAAAAGAATTTAAAATAACGTGGGGCCTACGTTATCGGTCGCGAATGTGTAAAAATCAGTTTCTTCATTACAACTTCATAATGGTGCATGTAGTTGACGTTAATTTAGTAACCTATATATACAGGGTGTCTCATTTTAATCTATAAATTCAATTATCTCCGAAATTTCTACTCGTCAATTAAAAAAGTGTCTCAATGCAATTCGTATCTCCTACATGCGTCCATCAAAGAGGCAAACCAAATTACTGCCTTCTCAAAACAGAAGAAATGCATTGTAGATGTATTTTAAATGACGAATAGTTTCGAAGACAATTGCATCTTACCGATTAAGATGAAACACTCTGTACATTATAATACTAGAGAGAAAAAAAAGAGAGACTGAAGATTAGATTAGCAAAAAGAACGGTAGTATGAAAGAAGAATAGAAAGGGAACGAAAGGGAGGAATAGTCAAAGAATGCATAAAAGAAAGGAAAGCAGGAAAAGGAAACCAAGAAAGAATAAGGGAAAGACAAGATCACCTCAAAACATGTGATTTTAACCAGATAGGAGTAAACAGAATAATTGTGGGGAGAAGGGAAACCAGCAGGGAAAATACTAGGGAAAAGAGAAGCGGAAATACAAAGACAAAGACAGTGGAATAGAATTCAGAAGACGAGATATAATTGGGAGTATAAGTATCTGGTAACAGGAGACCAAAATACCTGAAGGAGAGAAGGAAAAATGGAGAGCCAGAGCAAGATGCGGCACCCTAGAAAATGGAAGTAATGCAAGCGAAGAAAGGAAATGTGAATTGTGCGAGGATAGGAATGGTTCAACATTAGAGCATTAGAGAGACTGTAGAGAGATGGAGACAACAAATGCAAGTCTGAAAGAGATACTGAGTGAAAAACAGGGGAAAGAAGGTAAAATAGAAAGGAGAAAAAAAGATAAAGAGAGACAGGGAGAAGAGAAAGAAGAGATAAGGCAGGTCTAAAAAGAAGAAAGCAACAAAATAAACACGAAATAAAATGAAAGAATTAGGTTAAGATACTTAAATAGACAAAAGAATAAGCATAGCTAAGATAAATATAAGTATTGGACAAAGCAAAATAGGATACAAAAATATTATGTAAATGTGTATAACAATGTAAAATTTAGGATAAATGCAATGTGAGAACCAAGGTCAATTTCAAGGCCAAAGAGGCTGAAATAAATATGTACATAAATATATACATAACAACAAATATATAAAAAACAAATATATACATAATTACTAGAGAAAAAAAAAAAAGAAAAAAATCGTTCCGGGCGCTTATGTATTGTGGTTCGCTGGAAACGAACCAATTCCTCGCAGAGACGGGAAAAATCAAAGGCGGAACCGGGGGAGAAATTGCATCGAATGGTGGCTGTTTGTTTCGTCCGATCGGCCCCGAGCGAGAAAGTCGCTCTACTTTCTCTGTCGAGGCAGAACTTTGACTATCACCGCGCTTGGAACGCATGGGTCTCACTCGCGCGCGTTTTCCCTCGAAATCATTGTCCCCGCGGCGACTTACTTTCGTTGGATCGGATCGGCGACTGGGTCCCCTTGCAGTCGGCTGACAAAGAGAAACGCTAATGGTGGCGCGCCGCTTCCGAGAAGCGTCCTTAATCGCGGCAATTTTCCAGCTTCCGTATTAGGAACGGAGGCCCTATCGACCAGAGATCTCGTCCGAACGAGACACGACGGCATCACCTTCCGTAACGGGCTCCCTCGTACACGTGTAACCGGCCAGCCCCCCCNAGAGAGAGAGAGAGAGAAAGAGAGAGAGAGAGAAAAGGCCGAGCTTCTCTCGCGAGTATCGAGCGGCGCCCACCGTTACTGCGTCGTCTTTCCGCTGAAGCGGCAGGTAAAATTTATTTTCGCAGGAAATGGAAATTCGATAGGTTAATTTCGCACCGATGCGAGAAAGTTCTGGTGTGTATACCTGGAAACACAGTTTCCCTTATAAAAATCTCGACCGCGAGCGAATCCGATCTCGCCAAGTACGTATTATCTACGCTGAGGCTTCACGACGTGGAATTAAACACACTGGAAGATACAGGGTGGTCGCTGAAAGACTGAACGACAATATAAAAGAAAAACAACGGTTACAAACACGTGCTTTTCGAACTTTTCACTATTTTATTTATGAAATATAATCCATGGATGGACTTTTTTTCAGTATCATGCGTGAAAACTACAAAAAAAAAAAAAAAAAAAAACGAAACGCGGATCGTTCGAGGCGATAACGCGGCGGGGCTTTATCGAGCGGAAGTTCGAAAAGCGGGGGAGAGACGACGACGACGATCTCTCGATTCTCGGCAAGCGCGCATAAGGAGCACACCCTCTGGAAACGAGGCGAGAAACGTTCTCCTATACGAAGAGGTTAAAAGGCTCTTGGCCCCTCCTCTTTACTTTTCCGCTTCGTTCGCGATTATTTCGCGCAGTGATTATTTCCGCTATCGGGGGGGCGAACGTTGGGAGAGTCGTTACCGCTCGTACAAAATAAAAGGTGAGAAACTAAAGGGAGGAGGAGGGGGGGAGGGGACGAAGTCGAGGAGAAAATGGTAAACTCGGCTGGCGGACGATCGCCGGGGGTGGATTAAACGGGAGGATCAAGTCAGCGTGGAGCATCGCGCGCGCCAATGGGGGGTTGCCATTGCGGAGCAACTCGGGATATTAGGCTGATTCAGAGAGAGAGAGAGAGAGAAAGAGAGAGAGAGAGAAAAGGCCGAGCTTCTCTCGCGAGTATCGAGCGGCGCCCACCGTTACTG